AGCCCTCCCATCAGTTCTGTGTGGCAACAAGTGATCCCAGCCTGCTGCCTTGGCAGGTATGACTCTACCTTGCTGCATGCAGCTGTGACAGGGACCCAGGTACTGGGGGAAATACAAAGCCCTTGTGGGGGAAGGGGGTGATGGGACTGGGTGGGCCATGCCCATGGCCAGCAGAGCAGGGAGGTAGCAGGATGATGATGCCCTACCAGACCAAAACCCATTGTGCAAGCCTGTCTCCAGAAGGCAGGCCCCAGATCTAACCAGCTTCTTGCCCACAACACCCCACCCCCAGGGGCCTAGTGGCCTCAACAAGCCATCCCCATGGTCATATAACCTGCTACCAAGCTGTTGTGTCAGGGAACCTCAGAAGTGGGTCTTGGTGTATGGATAGAGAGGAGTGGGGGGCTGATGAAACATCCCTGCCCTGACCGCTCAAAGCATGGCACCCCAGGCTGCTAATTGCTTGAGGGGATTCTTTCTTTCAGCACTTTGCAGACCATTCCCCCACTCTCCTCCCTTCCCTTTCTTTTTCCTCTAGATCAGGGCTGAGGCACAAAGCCCCACCTTGGCCTTGGGCACTTAGACCACCTCCCAGTCTGTGGGAACTCACTCATACCACCCTCCTTGTCTCTCTGGGCCATGCTCAGCTACTGCGAGGAGCTGACCACCTCTCTCAGCCACCTTGAGCATTGGTGTGGAACCAGCACTCCCCCCTGCCTTGGACTCATGGAAAAACCCTGAAAGCATTTATTGAGCTCTGCAGGCAAAATGTAAAGAACAGGAACAGGTGTCAGGGCTCTGCAGCCTGCCTTGCTTGGCAGTCATGGGCCTGGATGGCAGATAGAGCGGTGAGGTCAAGGCCATGAGAAAACACACAGCTGTCTTGTATACCAGCTGACAGAGTTGCAGTACAGCAGCAAGGAGAAACAAATTTTCCTTAGCCAAACAGCCCAAGAAAGGCACTGATGTGATGGCAGGAGTCCCACATGGGAAGTATAATCACAGATGATCTGGTTACACTGCCAGGGTGATTCCTGAGTTGCACATCTGTGGATGCTTACAGGTGGCACTAGGGCACTCTCCCCCACCCCTCCATCCAATCCAATTCCAGGGGAAAATCTGGCGGAGACAGGTAATTTGAGTATCACAAGGCAGGCAGTCACTGTACCAACCCATCAAAGCAACTCCCACCCCCCTCCTGCACTTGCAGCTCCATTCCAGTCCCAGCTAGCAGGTCCCCCAACCCCTGAAAGCAAAGCAACCACCACCCTGACCCCCACGCCCTTCAAGTCTATTCAAAGCAAAGGCTGGTGATAGAAAGCCAAGGGCAGCATGTGGCAGGACTCTTCTCAGGAAGCTGGGTTAGTGGGGGAACTTTTCTCAATCAGGTCATGAAGGGTTGAGTGTTGCATTAATAGTGGAGGCAACTGCAAACTTGTCTGTAGGTGTCAGCTCATTGTAGTGTAGTACGTGATCCTGACTTGCATCTAATGGCAATCTGGGCTTCCCCTCCATGCCTTTAAAGGAGATGATTATCCTCCATGGACCTCTTGAGGGACCATCCTGTGTGGGCATTGTCCTGTTGTGTTAGTGCTGTGGATCTCCTCAGCTACAGCATCCTCAGCTACAGCATCCCTCAGTCCTCTAGGCCATGCTTCCTTACTCCCCAGGGGTGGAGGCAGGCAGCAGAAACTGGAGGAGAAAGGCAGAGCATGAAGGCTCTGGCAGCAGCAGTAGGAAAGCGATGGGCGGGATGGAGGGGGGATAGTGGCTGGATCAGGAGGCCAGGGGCCACAGTTTAACCCCTCAGGGGCCACATGTAGCCCATGGGCTGCCAGGCAGACAGCACTGATCTACTCTATACTAAGATCACATTATATGCCCCATATAATTTTTGCAAACCCACCATCTTTTTTTTGGTCGTTCATCTCATCTAGCTTCTAATCAGTTTTGAACTGAAGATTAATTACCAAGATCTGCATATTTATGATGTGAATCTAATATTTAATCCCAGATCAATGGGTGTAACTTGCCATCACCCTATTGAAGAAAAAAAAAATTCAAAGAAAAGGATCTGGATCGGGAAGTCAAAGAATCTGTACAGCTGTATGTCTATATGTCCCATAATATTCTTCTCCCATACAAGAACAGATCAAGTTTTTAATATTTTATTAAGGTGGTATGTAAGCAGTCAAAAATAATTTAATAAATTAGTGTCACATTGAAGAAAATAACAATATTAATATATTTGCTACAAATATGATTTTAAGCAAACCACTGAAAGAAAATACAAAAGTTCTTATATAAAAACCAGTAAAATATGATATTCTTGAAAAAAGCAACTTTTTCTAAAAATAATCATTTACAGTTCACAATCCAGCGTAACTTTAAACATAAATAATACATCAAAATTTAAATAATTGATATTAAGCAGATGATTAATATTGCTTTGTAAGCAATACCACATTATGGTGCTATATAATGAATGCTACATTTTTAAAATAAGCCATTCAAATTAGTGGCTAAAAATTATGCACAATTATTATAATCCAGGTTCTAAAAATTGAACAATAAGTACAATTCTGATAAAAGGCTCTTCACAAATTTTAAATATGAAATTTCACTGAGTGCTTATTGCTGCATATTTATTTAATACAAACTCATAGTAAATAGCCTATTTAGTTAATTGGCTGAATGAGGTATGAGGTTTGTACTTGATCTTCTTTCAAATCTGGAACTTCTGAATCAGAAATCTCTTGGTGGGAGCTCTGAACCTGCTCTTTTGTGTTGCTAGACTGATTCTCAGTCTATCCACTGCAGTTCTCAGATTCTTCTGAAATTACAGTTAACTTGTCATAAGAGTGATCCTCTTCTGGAGACTGTGGTGCACAAAACTGTGAACTGTAGGAAGGCTTGCTCAAAAACTGCAGCAAAAATAAGCAAGAAATAAGAACCAAGCTACACCTACCCCTCCCACACATTCCAAGCATCAATTGGTTTTCTTGAACTCTATGGTAAATCTATTGTCTTGTGAGACAGACAGATGCCTACTACGGTTTGAAAGATCAAGGGCTGGTCGCTTCCTGCAACTACTTTAGATGTATCATTTGAACACATTTACTTTAACATGTTATTCAACATGCATCATATAATCAGGCCTTCAACATAGCCTAATCAGATCCTTTTTAATCTTGTGACTGGTGCTCAAAATGCTCACCCCAGAAACCACGGAAAGTCTAATGCACTTACAAAATAGTATTTCAATACTAAGGAGTATAAAATAATTATTACTGCTTGTAAGATGACCTAGTTCAAAATTCTTTTGCAAAGGAAATCATTTGTTAAAAAAAACTAGTTACCATTCTAAATTACATTAAAAGCTGTGTTAGCTGGCACTTTATTAGCCAGAAAACTATTAACTGGCATCCGAGTGACGTGGCAAAAGCGAAACCAGAAGTACCACTTTCGGGGGACTTCCAGTTTCGCCACTGCAAGCTGTGTTTCTTCGCCAGTTTTTTGGCCCACAGCCCAGGGCAAAGCAGCCTGCACGGGAAAAAGCAGCCTGTGCAGGGCCCCTCTCCCCATCCCCCGGCACATTGACGCCGGGGAGTGCACCAGATGGTGCACATTTGATTAACTGGAATATTTGATTAACCGGCATCCCCCATTCCCGGGGCATGCCAGCTAACAGGCTTTTACTGTATTGGGATTAGTAAGGAATTCTATGAAAGAGCTTCCTTTATGCTGTTTTTCACATTTGTGAGAATTAAAAAATGACACTGAAGCTTAAGAAAAAGCAAGCTTTTTGTCCCTATAAGGAGCGTTGCTGGATTTTCAAGCATGAGTTCATTTGACTTTTACTTATCTTGCTTTATTGGCCTCTCCAACTGTTCCTTGATCAGTTTTTTAGAATAAATACCTTCTTGAGCACCACTACTCAGACCTCCAACTTGTGGGCTGCGTTTGGCCCATAGAGCCATGTCATCCAGCCCACATGACCCCCGACAGGTCTAGAACTTTGGTGGCAAGGGAGTGGTAGCAGCATTATTTGCTCCTCGAACTGGGAACAATTTTTTTTAAAATGGGGTTGCGTGATACCACCCTGCATTCTCCCAGTATTAGAATGCTTCCTGTTATGCTAGAATTCTGTAGGAAAGAATATCAAACATCTAATGGGTCTTCTCTCCATGTTTAGGTAACTAACTTCCTTTGATTTTACGTGACATTGTATATGTATTGAGGAGAGAAAAGGTCACCTAAAATGGGATTCAGGTATTTCTTCTAAGTATTTATATAGGTTCTATACACAGTGATTGCACTGAGCATGAGCATTTTCAATCTGCCAAGGGATGGAACCCTGCCTTCACATTGAAAAACATATGCCAGGGGAATCTGCTTTTGAAACACAGGTCCAAAAAGGGCTGAATATATTTTTCCTGAGCAGAAAATGAAGAAGACATATGATCACAAACTCTTTTAAACCAGTCTTAGTTAAGTATTAAATGTACATATTTTTCTGTTCTAGTATGGAGAGACTTTGATTTTTCCTTGGCTATAATACCAAACTAACTACTAAAGGACATATTCGGGATAAAATTTAAATCTGTCAGACATGGCTTCTATTCTGTACTCTGTTTAACAGTCTTCACTTTAATTTCATTAGCCATGGGCAGAACACAAAACAAAAACATCCGTTTCCTAAGCCAAACACATAAAATTTGTTTTACACGTTATACCATAGCTGCGTGTGCAAAGGCCTTGAATACGTGTCCATTTGTAGGGCTACAAAGTACAGAGACACTTTGTAACACTAGAAAAAACAAAGCGCAGTTGGAGCATGTGAACATGCACAGTCCCCTAGTTAGAGCATTATATTGAACTCAAAAGCACACTCTCTAGCCCGGAAGAAATGGGGAAAGGGAGGGGAAGTTACTCCTTTTCTCCCCTTGGCCCTGGGGAACCTATCAGTGAGCTGGATCACTGGCATCCTGCCGTCTCCCCTGCTGCAAAATATCAGTGATCAGTTGGCAGCTGCCACCTGGAATGGCATCTGCCAAAGACAACCCTCCTTCCCCCTGCCCTGCCACCTGCTTGGATGGTGTGGAGGTAGAAGTGAGCAGGGCAAGGACAGCAACTTCCCTTACCATCTCCCCCTGCCACCAGTCACCTCTGGGGTCATGAGAAAAGCTGCTTTCCTGGCCCACAGCCCTTACCACCTACTCCCAGGGCATTGGTGGTCAAGCACTCTTCTTATGGTGGTGGCAGCAGGGTCCCAGCAGGGTTCTGTGACAACTTGCCGTGGCTGGGCGAGTGTCAGGGAGGCAGTCATTCTCCTTCCCTCCCCTGTGGGTGCAGGTGGTCTGGGAGACTCTGTAGCACTACATGCAACTGTCCACATGTTCCATGTAGTGCTACAAAACATGGCACTACAGAGAAGATCCGTTTTGAAAGAGGAGAATTTTTGTGGTGGATCCACCATTTCTACAGGTAGTTTGTAGGTGTGGACACTCACTTTTTGTAACACTCATAGTGCTACAAATGTAACATGCCCAAGGTCTAATAGACTACCAAACACCTGGATGATGCCTATATAGCAGTTTGCTCAGGACATACTAGATAAGGAAGACTGAACTGACCATTTACATCCAACTGAATCCCTACACAAACCAATTCAATTGCTGGTCTATTTAGTTCAAAGTCTTTAGCAGCAGAATACACTCATTATTATTGTAAATGTTTCCTGTTCTGGAGTGGCAACCATGCCCACAAGCAGTTTATCACAAGTGAGCTAAAGCTGCCTGACAACAGCTAAGACTCATCTATTATTTTGCAACATGTATAATAGACTTGTATTCTTTTAGTTTGTGTGCCTAATAACTTCCAGGATCACATATGCCAATATCATTCATTAGGCTTAACACTTAGCTAATAGTCCAGGTACATAAGTAAGAGTGAGAAAGTTCATTAAGTTAAGCAGAAAACCTGCAAAGCTTTCTGGGGTCTTTGACAGGCAAAAGACTCCTGAAAAGCTCATTTTTTATATTTATTATTTTATATAGAATGACAATGGACAAACCTCTTTCAAATGTTGTGGGAAAGAATAAGAAGGATAGAAGATGTATCTGGTCTGTTGATATATACATAAAAAGGAAAAGAAACAAGCAGGAACAGATACTAGAACAACCAACATGGATATCAGAAGAACAGCAACAACCATCCACACTGGTGTTATACCTGCAAGAGACAGGAACATAAATTCTTCAATACTTGATCATTCAGTTTTGAATATACAGCTTTCAAAATTTCATGCTAATTACTGAGAAAAGGATATTTCTAACCTTCATTTTGTCATATTTACAACACCTTTGGTGCATGAAGAAATAAAGTATTTTGTTCCCAAATGGGAAAAGTTTCAATTTTGAAAGTTTTTCTTTGAATCAAGTCAGAAGGCTCTTACTTCCTAGAGCACGGGTGGGCAAGATACAGCCCGTGAGGCCATTTTATCTGGCCTGCAGGGCCCCTAAAAAATTTAGACAATTAATATTTATCTGTCTTTGGTTCCTGTAAAAAATGACAGGAACCAGTGGCAGTAGGACCCAGGTGAAGCCCAGTGGGCTCCTACAACAGCAGGGCCTGCCTGGCCCCCCCAGCTGGAAGCCCCTCCCAGGGCTTCTGGCCTCAGACCAGTGGCTGCACCGCATTGGAAACTCAGGTAGGGGCATGGAGGAAGGGCTGGGGAGGACTGCGGGCAGGGAAGGAGCCTGGGGAAAAGCAGCTCCTCCCCCGCCCCGTGGCCGGCGCTCCCCGCTGCAGCCGCTCGCAGCCTGTGCTGAGCAGTGTTTGCTGCTGCTGCCCGCCTGGAGCTTGTGCACTGGGCAGCCCAGAGGTGGCAGTGGCATACACTGCCTGGCGTGGCAAGTGGGGGTGGGCCGCAGCTGCTGCCGCCGCGGTACAGCCCTGATGGGTGAGCCCAAAGCTGGCGGAGGACCCAGGTTGGCTGTGAGGGTGGGTTACAAGCTGGTGCTAAGCGCAGGGAAAAGCAGCCCCTCGCCTGCCCTGTGGGTAGTGCCCCATGCTGCAGCCACTTGCAGTCTGCATGGGACTGCTGATACCTGCTCAGGACCGCCCTGCACAGGCTGTGAGCAGCTGCAGCAGGGAGCACCAACCAGGGGGCGGGGGAGGGGCTGCTTTTCCCCCATGCTCAGCACCAGCTCGTTCCCTGCCACGGAGGAGGGGTTCAGGGCTGCACGCTGCCCCTTGCCTGTACTGCGGGGCTGGGGGGCACTGGGAGTGAGTGGGTGGACGGGGCACCACCTGGTGTTCAGGGCCAGCACCGGCGGGGCCCAGAGCAGGGCAGCAGGAGTACAGGGTCCCAGCTGGCAGGGGCTCTATGAAGCCAGGCCAGCTCCCCCCTCTCCCTGATGGTGCAGCCCAACCCGGCTCCACAGACCCCTGCCAGCCTGCGCCCCACTATGGGCCCCATCGGTGCTGGCCCTGAGACATTGGGACATTGGTCCCAAGATGGTGACCAGGGGGTGGGGTACCTGTCAAGAAACGGGGCTACCCATGCAGCCCTCAACAGCCTGCCAAAACTGGGTAAATGGCCCTCAGCCCAAAATAATTGCCCGCCCCTGTCCTAGAGTGAGCCTACACCAGGGGCGGGCAATTATTTCGGGTAGAGGACCACTTGCTAAGTTTTGGCAAGCTGTCAAGGGCCACATGGGTAGCCCCACCCCTTGACAGGTGCCCTGCCCCCTGGTTGGCATCTTGTGACCAGAAGTCCCACCCCCTAATCCCTGAACTTTGCCACCAGAAGTCACTCCCATTGTCCCCAGAAGTACTCCTTTCAGCAAGGGGTTTTGCCATCTCAGAACCAGAAAAATACCAAGTTAAATGCTAAAAAGTGATCATCTACAACATTCATTAATTTGATTTCAAAAAATATTTTTGTCCTGATTTACATGTGTTTGTGTAGTGTACACAGTGGTGACTGCACAATAGCTTATAATGAAGTCTTATTCTTGTATATTGTGGGGGGGTGGATATAGGTTTGTGGGGGCTGTGGGTGTGGGGAGAGGGTGGCTGGGGTTTGTGTATGGCAGCGCGTGGGAAGGCATAGGTGCATGTGTATGGAGGTGTGTGCGTGTGAAACTCACCCTATGAACACATATACACACTCTGCCCCTGTGCCTGCAGACACACATGCTGCCCCTGTGCCTGCAGACACGCACACACACACACTCTGCCCCTGTGCCTGCAGACATGCACGCACACACATACACACCCCTACCAGCGTGGTCCCATGCTCGAGCGTCCGGGGATGCAGCCAGGAGCTGGAGCAGGGTGGGGGCAGGAAAGCAGGGAGCTGACTGGGGGTGGGTGGGGCTGGGCTGCTCAAGCCTGCTGAGGGCTCCCACTGGGTCCTACTGTCCCTCCACCAGCCACCTTTGACAGCGAGCCGGGGCAAATAAATATTCATTTACTACATTTTTAGGGGCTCCACAGGCCGGATAGAATGGCCTGGTGGGCTGGATGGGGCCCGCGGGCTGGATTTTGTCCGCCCCTGGCCTACAACCATTGTACTGACACATTTAAAGCAAGCAAAACAGTGAATTCTTAGGGGAAAAAATAGAGCGATCACAAATAAAGATCTGTACACATATTCCAGGGCACTTCCAGGGAGGTTCAGTCTTTCAGAAGACACTATGTTTTAATATCAATGCTAAATATGACTACAGGATCACATACTTCTGTTTCTTTCTAAAGGGATACTGGTTAAAAAATGGCAACTAACTGGGAAGTAGCAGTGATTATAAATTCCTAAACTTCTGGATTATGCAAATCTTTAAGAGGCTCATTTCATGCATTGGGACTTCACAAAATGTGACAGAACTAAAGACTGATCAAGATTTCACTAAATGTTTTAAAGCAGGGTGTTAAAAATAGGGTCTGTAGGCTAGATCCAGCCCATGGAGCCATGTCATTAGGCTTGTGGAGGGGCTAGGAATTCAGGGGTGGGACCCACCATGAAAATCTGGGGTATGGAGCCCTGTTAGGGATGCATGCCAGTAGTGGTGTGTCAGGGAGGAAGTGATCGATGGCTGTGCTAACCCCATGACTCCCTGCTGCTGCCACAACTGAATCCAGACTAAGGGTCTGGGTGAGTTTGACACTTCTATTTTAAAGCAACCTACAGTTGCTTCACACCTGTTTATTAATCAGTCTAGGGGTACAGCCTTCCTTTCTAAACAGAAATACAATGTTCCCTGTTCAGACAAGTGTGCGGGTCTGTGACAGCGGCTATGGCCACGTCATAGGTAGCTTTCAAGGTGGCATGGCTGGAATTTGGAGCAACTATCCGAATATACATTGCGAGGTTACAGCTACAAAACTTTAAAGACTGAAGTCTTGCTTTAGTTGGTCTAATAAAAGATACTGGATTTACCCAAAGAACCTTGCCTGCCAAAGTCTTGCTTAGGCATGGCAGATGGTAAACTGGATAACTCCAGATGATGGATGTTTACTACTACAGTCTCAGAAAAGATATATACATATAAACAAAGCAGTCACTTATAGCCTGCTTGAAAGCATTAACAAAATGGATCTTCTTGCCTGGCTTAACATAACATAATGATTGTAAATGTGATGAAAGGAAAAGCAAGCACAGCAGAACTCTATCCTATTTTATAAATGTTACTCCAAACAATATCATTCTGCAACAAAACAGTTCAAGAAGCAGATGTTGTAACAGAATATTAACGTTTCATATCTGATTAGGATGTTTATAATGTACTGATACAACAGATATTACCATTTTCAGTTGTCTTTTCACACAACACTTGACTAAATTCTCCTACTTTATTCCATTCAGGGACAACTGCTTGAACTTGAAGACAATATACTGTCCAAGGGTCCAAGTCTAATAATGATGCTGAGTTATGTGAAGAATTCACAGTTATCACCTAATATAACAAAAGAAAACAAAAAACTTCAGAGGCATAGTTCCAATGATTGACAAGCTCGATTACTAGTTTACAACTGACATTACATCTAATGGCCTGATTTTCAGCATTTGTATTCATACTATTAAATTTACAAAAAGTATAAAAAAAAGGCTAATTCCTGAAAGTTAAAAGTTTCAAGTTAAAATAAAAGTTGTCAAAACAGATTTTGTATTTTTAATTACTCATTCTCCTTGCCAGTTTGCTGGTGAATGGAAGTTGTGACAATAAGAAGTTACGGATTCCACAATATTTAGAGATCTTATTTTTGTTATAATGCTGCAGCAATGCTACATTTCAGAACACCATCAACAGCACTGTACTTAGAAAGGCAAATTCAAAATTACTGATACTGGTTTATATATAAATATGATATTTATAAATATTACCTTTTGGGCACTGCCTTTCTTCCAGTATTGCACCCTGTAAAACCAAGAGCCATAATACTGTTGTACGGTCCAGTTTTCATGACTATTTTCAGAAGCAGGGCCTGTGAAATCTACAGTCAAATATCCAGATTCAGATCTCACTTTTACAGCAGGTGGTCCAATGATTGCTAAATATTAGAAGAGGAGAGGGGATAAAAAGGACAAAAAAAAAAGAATTCGTCACATGCACTGTTCTGACATTTTTACATATCCTACAGCACTATATGTAATCATTACTACAGATTTGAAGAAAATTATTTTCTCCCAAATAATCAGGGATAAATAAAGTCTTCATGTCTAGATCTGTCATAAAGCAAATTTCCTTTTGCTTTAATATAAAAGACATGTGTGCTTCCTGTGCATCCTCCATTCACTGAAGTCAATCAACATTTATGCAGCCTGATGCCGTCAGCATCGGGAGTCATGGCAATATTAAAACACGTATTTCTACAATATTAGTCTATTTATTGACAGTGTTTCCTCTTCTTAACTAAGCCCTTTGTGACATCCAACTTTTCTAAGGATGCTTTCTGGTAAAGCGTGTCAGTTGTCCTCATTGTTATGATGGCTTATAGAAACTATCATTTGAATTGCTTCTTAATTATTATTTTTATGTCGAATACTATTAAAGTTCTACATTTTGAGACTGGCTATTTTGACTACATGCTGTGCCACCATGTAAACTCTTTTACTGAGTATTTATTCCTCAACTAGACTGTGCCTATAATGAACTAGCTAGCATTAATAATAGCACTATTGTATACCACTAGACAGTGCTTTTACCAGCTTCTCATATAAATAATTTCTCAGGTTGTGAAGAAGCCAAGGCCAAACTATAGCAGCATTCCTATTATTGCTTCCTTAAGTAAAGCTATGCTAGAACTACAGTAACAGCATAAGATGTTTAGTAAGAAAGAGCTTAAAGAATACAAGGCTCTGCACTTTTCCTGAAATGCTCTGGCACATGCTAATTAGCACACCGTTGGAACAGACTTAATTAATTGAGTCTGTTGGAGCGTGCTAATCAGCACACTCCAGCAGCGTCAGTGTCACATGTATTCAGTGTCTCTGTGCTTCAAAATAGCAGTGGGGGTGCTTTAACTAAACCCTGCCATCATTTTTAAGTGCGGATGGTGAATACACGAGACGCTGCAGGCACTTTAATTAGAGTGACTCCTGAGAGCCATTCTAATTAAAACATTCCCCTCACACACACCTCACAGCACATGGAGAGATGCCCAAAAGTTCTGGCTGCTGGATCCTTGCCTACACTATGGCTCCAGACAGTTTTAAATAGATGCAATGCTTTGAAAAACATTTCACATTGTAGAGGAGGCCTTAGTGACTCTGATACTCTTAGGGTTCACCTACCCCTTTAGGGTTTGTAATTCCCTAACAACTGCTGCTCTGCTGATGGTAGCAGTGATGGAAGCTGTAGAATAGATGAGACTGCTGTACCATTTAGTTTTGCTCAGTGTAGATGACACAGTGGTAAAAATCCTGGGGCTGTATCTACAAAAGGATTCTGCAGTGCTCACAGGTCTTCCTTGTCAAATAGTTTTATACAGGGATGTATCAGTTCAAATGTAAGCTGATTTTGGCAGGTCAGTCTTGGTTACAAGCAAACTCTTTCCTTCAAATGTACATCAAAGTCCTTTTCCCAACAAAATCCTTTATACAACTCTTATCAATCATTTGCAGGCTCATTCCAGGATGTGGAGGTTCACAATAAGTGCTAGTGTTTTTATTGGCTTGACTACACTCCTATAGAATTTATTAAATATTTTCATTATAGTTCAGCTGCTTGTTCTAGCCTGTTTAAAGCTGCTTGAATTTAAGTATTGGAAAAAAGACATTTCCTGGTTCTCTAGTGTTTTCTTCCCTGCTGCCCAACTATCTTATCTATTAGCTTTGCAATAATGTACACAGCTAAACTTTCCCCTAACATCAGTATTCACTTTCAGAGTTTCTCAGGGTAACTGGCCAGATGTCTTTTGTCTTGCAATGAGATTTTTTTCAATGAATTCTTTAACTTCATTATTGGCTTTTTAAGTACTTAAAGAGTTAGCGTGGCCATGGGAGAGAATTACAAAGAGATGTGCAGGCGAACTGAAGGAAGAGAAAAATCTGCATGTTTGGAATTTAATATAGAAAAATTATGTCAACATGATCCTGAAAAAAATCATAAATGCACTGGAGAACGGCAGCTGGAAGTTGTAAACTTAGACCCCTGCTACATGTTACAAAAGTTACAAAATTGACTAGTTAATCATGCAGTAGATTTAGATTGGTCACATGTGCAAAGTAAGACAGGCCAAAAATGCAAAGTAATTACCACACAATTAACTGGTTAACTGCACAATAAATTTAGACCAGCCACACGTGCAAAGTAATTATCACAGCATAAAAATTATTATTGAGCTACAAAGAGAGTGAATCAACTACATTTCTTTGGCAATCCTTCCCAGTCCACGATGATTGTCTTCCATAATTGTCTTATTCATGTCTTATCCATTCAAAGATGGCTGATGAGGCCGATCTGGGACTGACAGACTCTGTTGCAACTCAGGCATGTGTTTCTGTGTAGGATGAGTGGCTCTAGATCCTTGATTTGGTCCATGACACACTGCTTTTGCCACTTCCACTTTTCCATCTCCTGTTGTCATTGTAAGGTTTCAAAGTACTGAGATCCTTGCAGCAGACTCTTCCTCCATTTGGGGAAGTCCTGGATGATAGTCTCCCATGAGTTGACATCAGTGTTGCATTTGGCTTTGAGGATGTCCACGAAATGTTTTCTCTGCCCTCCTCTTGAGTGTACGCCTTGACTGAGCTGGGAGCATAAAACTTGCTTTGGGAGTCTGGAGTCAGATATCTGGATGACGTGGCCAGCTCAGCAAAGCTGATGTCAGATCACTGCCTTAATGCTTGTGGTGTTTGCTTGTGAGAGGATGCTAATGTTGATGCATCAATCCCCCAACTGGATTCGAAGGATCTTCTGTAGGCGGTGTTGATGGTATTTCTTCAATGACCTATTGTGTCTCCTGTATGTTGTCCATGTCTTGGCTCTGTATGGTAAGGTGGGGATCACAAATGCTTGATAAGCCATGAGCTCGGTTTCGGATCTGATGTTGGGATCTTAGAACACCTGTTTCCTCAGGTGTCCAAAGGCTGCACTTGCACATTTAGGGCAATGTTGATTTCTTTGTTGATGTCAGCCTTCTGCGAGATATGGCTTCTAAGGTACAAGAAATACTCAATGTTCTCCAGAGTATCACCATGTATCTGAATTACTGGAGTTGGGGACTGCTCATTAAGAACTTGTTGATGGAGGACCTTAGTCTTCTGAATGTTAAGCGTCAGTCCCATTTTCTTGCATGCCTCAATAAAGTTGATGACTGCCTGAAAGCCTACTTCCAAGTTAGCATGGACTACAGCATCATCAGTGTACTGAAGCTCAATGACTGAGGTTGGGGTGGCCTTGGAGTTGGCTGAGATTAAATAGCTTACTGTCCATCCGGAAGTTTAGCTCCACTCCAACTGGAAGCTTATTAGCAGTCAGATGTAGTACCCCAGTAAGGAATATTGGGAAGAGTGTGGGAGTGATGATGCATTCTTGCTCACCTCCCGTATTAACCTCAAGTGGATCTGTGATAGAGCTGAGAACCACTGCTTGCATACTGCCATGGAACAGGCAAAGAATGCACACCAAAATTCATCACCATCCGTACTTCAGAAGGATCCTCCACAGCACTTCTTAGTTGACAAGAGTTGAACTAAGTCCTGTGAGGTCAAAAAGGACCTCAGCTTTCATGAGGTCAACAAGGACATATAGAGAGGTTTATGTTGTCCCTAGTATTTTTCCTGCAGTTGGTGAGTTGCAAAGGTCATGTCAGTTGTGTCTGTTCATGCCCTAAAACCACAATGAGATTCCATGAGCTCTTCAGCAAGTGAAAGGAGAATGTTCAGGAGGGTTTTCATGAGGTGATCCTTCTGTAGTTTCCACAGTCAGACTTGTCTCCTTTTTTGAAGATTCCCACAACCATGGCATCCCTGAGGTCATCTGGGATTTCCCCATCATTTCAAATCCTTAAGATAAGGGAATGGAGATGTGATAGGAGCTCTTCTTCCCCCTGCTTCAAGATTTTGGTGGGGATTCCATCAGTCCCAGATGCCTTGTTGCTCCTCATCTGCTGGCCGGCTTTCCTCACCACCTTGTCAAGGGTTGGAGGGATTCTGGGATCGTCTCTTATTGGATGTTGCACAATGGAGTTGAGAACACCCTTGTCAACAACAGAGTCTTGAATGAGAAGGTTTTCAAAATGCTCCTTCCAACTGCTGTTGATGGCTTTCCTTTCCTTGATTAGGACTCCTCCATTCTTCGGTCTCAAGGGGGTTCATCCCCAAGTGTTCGAACTGTAGATGGCTTTGGTGGTATTGAAAAAGATGAACATACCATGGATCAATATTCCCTCTAAGGAGTAGTGGTCCGTGAGCAAACCGCTTTGGTCCGTGAGCATGCTGCTTTGGCTCATTCCCGAATTGGTCCCACCTCCCCCTTTCGGTGCGGTCCACCAGTAAGTGTCTTGCGGTAAGTGTCCAGGTGAGAGCGGGCAGGGTTCGGCCCCATGTGGAGCACTGTGGGCCCCACCCACCACCCTTCTCCATGCTAACTGCTGCCCAGAGCAGCACAGCAGGGGCAGAAGGAGGAGCTGCTGGAGGCAGGGGAAGCCAAGCAGTACCTGGGCAGCAGTAGCTCTGTTGGGAAGCTGTGCATGCTGGCTGGGCCCAGTGGAAGTGTGGCACAGGTTGCCCCAGTCCCTTCTGACTAACACTGAAACTGCCAAAAAGAATAAGTCCATCTCCCTCCAGAATGTCAGAAAGGACTTGGTCAAGGTTGGCATAGAATTCCTCCTTGGTTTCATCAGCAGCGTCAAGAGTCAGGGCACATGCACTGATGCCAGTGGCATATCAGCTCGTCAGACAGTTTACGACAGAGAGTTACAAGGTGCATAATTATCACATCATAAAAATGACTGTCGAGCTAAAATGTGAGCCAATCAGCTACAAAGTTAGTACTTGAAAATGTGTAACAATTCTGGTGTAACAAGCTGGTTTCTATCCAGCTTTAATCTGAACATGTAGCAGGGCCTTTACACTCTGACTCTAAGTAAGTACGTGAAAGCAAGCCAAATCAGAGAAGAATGGAAAACTCAGAACTGCCTCTAAGACCAGAGAAATTAAGGAGGTGGTTTTTCACTGGCAGCTATGCAGAGGAACAGCTCCTTGTTTCTGGAATAACTGATGCTTGCTAATGGATGGAATATGAGTAAGGATGCACAAAGTGAAAGAGATTTATTGACAAGATCTCTCCCCTCCAGACTCAGCTGACAGGTAGGCCAATATCTCTGTCATTGCACTGAATTGTGCTCTGTCATCATCTGTCGATGCCATGATTCACACCATGCTTCATATGAAAGTGCAAAGCTCACTTAATTAGCGAAGACAGTGTACATTCAAAATTATTTAAAAAAAAAAAGTTTCACCCTCCCCAAAAGTTATTGATGCTTTTCTGAATTAGTTTTTTTGCCTGACAACAATAAGTAACTGAGTTGATTTAATCTTTAATCTCTTAAGTAAGAATCTTTGGAGGAAAGTCCTCTTCCTGTGATTTTTATGTTGTATTTGTTCAGGGGAAGAAAGCATCCTGGTTAAAAATATCTCAAAACTGGTACCAAAGTAAAAGAATGGAGTCAATCCTGAGCTAGATAAAACAGTAGTCTTACCATGTTTTGTCATCCCTGAGCAGAGAGAGGTAGTTAGCTATGTAAAAGTGGGGCACTCAACCTCCAGCCTGTGCACCAAATGAGGCCCACAGAGCTATTACATCTGGCCTGTGGGGCTCCCTGTGGATTAAGATGTTTGGCAACAGGGGATTAAAACCACCAGCCTCCCTCACTGCCGAACCCCCATGCTTCCTTCCCACACAGCCAGACTAGAACTGAAATGGGGCTGGGCCACACTCCTTTTCGCCATGTGGCTGGATTAGGGCAAGGCCAGGTCCGCTTCTCCTGCACGACTGAATCGGAGTCAGGTGGTCCCCTACCTCCTTCGCGTGGCTGGATGGGGCCTGTAGTGCTGGTCCCATTGCTGGATCAGGGCCACTGGCTGGATCCAGCCCATGGAGGAGCAGGCACTACCCATGCCAGGAAAAAATGGTTGCGCACCACTGGCCTAAAGTCAGGCAGAAGGCATGGGAGATTTGCACCTTATAAAGTAACAAAATCACAGCATCTGATGAAGTGAAATCACTGGGCTCATGAAATCTTATGCTATATGTCTCTGATTTAGTTAATGCTATATGTCTCTGATTTAGTTAGTCTAAGGTACAAATCTATCCTGCCTTTCTACTGTGTTTTGGTGGCCATTTCTCTCCACCAAAAATTTATTCCAACTAGCACACAAATGTTTCATAATTTACTTAAAATAATGTGTTAATTCAGTTGAATTATATTTTTATTTGATTGTTATCAGAGTTTACCAACAGCAGACAAAATATGTCTAACGGGGATGGAAAGTAAGGAAGGGAAGGCTTACTGTCCTCCATTGGGTTGAAGATGATGTCAGCCAAGCCCAACAGTTCATTCTCTGACTCTGCCATGACTCGAACGGTGAAGTTTCCATATATGGAAAGAAAGGAGATGTCACACACTGTAGTATCAATGCTTGTGCACAGGTTTTCAAATGTGTTCTTGTAGGAGCTAGGGACAGAAGACAAAAGAATTGCATCTGAATTATGAGTTAGAAATTAGAAAATATCCTTCATAACAGTGAAGTAAATAGCAATGTTAATTTATTAACAAGGGTAGTTGCGACTAAGAGGCAAAAAATATTAGCTGAATAATAGACGAACAATGATTTGCAGTAAGTATACACAGGCTTGTGTTACTTTCCATCCTTCTATTAATATGGACTTCTATTAAAATGGTTTATTATTGCTTTGGAATAAATGTAGAAACTAAAGTTCCCATTCAGAAAGTGTCTTACTGCTTTTTACCGTGGTGCCAGCAAAACACAATTCAGCAAAACAGAATGCCTCAAACCATAGCCTGAGTCAGTCTAATTCCTATGCTCTGCCAAATGTAGATCAACTCTTCCCTTGCTATTTCCTTCTCTGTCATTTGAGGTCTAGGAATTAAATGGAAGAGGAATGTTCCTTCAATTTCCTCCTTAGGGCCCACCCAGCTGTACAGCTAGCAATAAGAGCTCACCCCAAGAGAAGTCTGGGTGTCTCCTATGGCCCTAATAGCTCCCTCCCTCTAAGTGTTGTGTGTCAGCTGGTGGCTTGTGGGCAGCCTCTAGCCTGCAAGGGATTAACACGTAGTTTGTGGATTCTTGTCCAGCTGCCACTTCCCCCATTGCTCCTGCTGCTGCAGTGGTGGGGCAGAGCAGCACGGTGGGAGATGGCCTGTTTAGTCTGCTGCCAGTGGAGTCCAGCAGGCGGAATAGGGGCTTGCACTCCCCAAATGTCAGAGGAGTTGTGCTGGCCATGTGCTGGGGTCCTGAGGAGCCTAGATGACATATGCCCCATACAGTGTGCAGCCAGGGCCCAAGAGCTGTGCAGTGTATGGCCCTTGGCTGCTCAGAAGTGGGGCAGCCCTGTTCTACATCATTAGTTTGGAGGCTTCTCCTCAGCAAAGGTACCTTGCAATCTGGTATTTTCCCTGCCTAATGTCCTCCTTTTTCTACCGCTGAATTAGGGAAATCTCACACTTCACTCTGTGCTTCTCATAAAACCCTCTCCATCCCAGCAGGCACCCAGTCTGGAGGAGGGGAAAATGCCCTGATGAAAGAAGATCTTACAAAATGCTGCTGATAAAACCTTGGTCATTGAGGACAGAGGCAACTAAATAAGGAGTAATCTCACTGGAATTCATAAACCATATCTGCAGAGGGCATCAACACACACAGAATGCAAGGGGGAAAACAAAGAGGGACCTCTTACCTCCAGGAGAGTCTGGAAAAAGGCAGAAAATTTCAGCAGTATACCATTTGTGTTGAAGTAGACTCCCATGACAGAGAAAGTAAATTTATATGTAAGCAATTGATCATTGTTAATATTACAATGTTTTACTGGCTTGGAGTAAGAACAACTGAAATGCCTACAAATGCAGTATCTAAAAGCCAACAGAAAGGAAGCTTCTTCCAATAAAAGTCACAAGAACACAAAGCTGCACATTGTAGGGTTATCTGAGAAATCTTTCAAGAATAAATGAACAAAGCTACCAGGCCTACCTTTTATGTTGGACTGTATACGTTATATTTCCTTTGTGAAAAGTAGGTGGATCCCACTGTAACTTGCTACGAAAGTTAACCGAATTCACTCTTACATTTTTTAGTTCTGGCACCATTGCAAACGCTGTACAAACAGACAAACAGGTTAGCATATGTTCCTCAAATTGTTTTACACTAACTTGATTCATTTAAACAATCCCCACCAAAAATTAAATCTGCACAGAATGCAATCCAACAGTTCAATCAATTTCTTAATGCCTGTCTCCTTTTTGAACCTATGCAAGGTAGACAATTCCTAAAACTATCCTGGGATTGTAAGTGGCACATGAATGTTTCTGGTGTTTGAACATATGAATCTTGTGTGTAATATGTACGCTCCCAGTGCACCTGCACAAGACAGAGTCTAAATCTGGAAACAGGAAATCTACTTAGAGTGTACAGAGTTTACAGAATCATTTCCTCAAATGTGACCTCTTCCTGTACCCACAAAATCTTAATTAGAATGCATTTCAAACTAGAAATGATAGAGAAGTTACTTCCCTTGCCTTAACTGGTGCTCTTTGAGATCCCTTTCCACCTGCACATCTCACTGTGGGTGCTTATGTGCCCCAAGCTCAGAAACATTATCATTTACAGTACCCATGTGATCTCCATGCACATTGCTTTCCCTTCTCTATGGTGTCCAGGGTATAAAAGGTGAAACATGCCTACTACACGACTCAGTTTCCTTTCAGCTACAGAATCCCAGGCATTCTCCCAGGAAGAAGAGACGGAGAGCAGATTGTGCATGTGGACAACACATCTTAAAGTCCCATTTATTGTAAGGTAAGTAATGGCTCTTTCTCCTTCCAGCAATTGTCTATATCTGTGTTTCCCAACCTTTTTAGACTCAAGGCACCCCTCACAAAATGCCTGTTCTTAGCTTTCACTCTTTTTTTACTATAGAAAAATAATAGAGCAATTGTTTTGTTGCAAAGAACTCAGAAAGACCACACCAGGTTAGAATGCTTTGACACGGTGGATTCCTATTTCTATGATCCTATGAAATCTCTGGATTTATCTTGTGAATCATACAGGAGGAAATCCAGAGTGGATGCAGTGGCACAGTTGCGCCCTCCTTTCAGATAATAGGAACAACAGCTGGGGACCTTTTTTTTAAAGTTCCTGATTCAGGTAAGAATCACCCTCCCTCCCCTTCCCTTCCCTTCCCTGCTCAGCAGCATGTCCCCACTCTCAGCAAGTCTATTCATAGCGTCCGATGAAGTAGGCTGTCATCTACGACTACTTATGCTTCTGAATGAGTTAGTCTGTAAGGTGCCAAACTACCCTGCTTTCTGTCCACTTCCAAGATTATAAAATAACCATAGAAGAACCCTCTTTTCCAATACTGATGGCTATTTCACTTATCACCATTAAAAGGGTTAAAAGGACCTTGGGAGAAGGGTCCCTGAAGCAGAATGAAGAAAGGAGGATACAAGTAGGGAAGAAGGAGAAATAGACAAATGCTTCCAACTAAGTATACCATCTAAGATTCACTGGTCCATAGTACAATAGAGCCATTTGTGCCTGAAGTGGAGGTTCCTGAGGGAAGACACAGTCAGATCTGGAATCCTGAGTTCGTTTGAATTTCCTGTTAAAATGATTGCTTAATAACCTGAAGTGGGTTGAGATGATTGGGAAATCACAGTGGATTGCCTTAGCTGGGGGAAGCACTGTTGTGCCTTAGATTACTTGGAAGATCTGTGTGTGATAAAAGAAAGAAAACTGCGGGGCCCATCTTTGAAAGACTTCAAATTGATACCCACTGTGTTTTCTCTTTAGGCACCAGGATGAAAACACCTAAGGAGCAGATTAAAACTCTGGATTGCTTTTGGGTATAAAGGGCATTTTTTATCTTGGCAGTAAACAATTCAGATGCTCAGGCTGCATCTATCTCTTTTTCAGGCCTGAGGAAGAGCACTTTGTGCTTGAAAGCCCATCTAAAATCTCTCGTAACCATTCAGTTGGTCCAATAAAAGGTATCACCCTCTTCTCTGTCCTCAGAAATATCCTTGCCCTTACATATTTCCTGGACCATTCCAACTGCAACATCACTCCAACATTACCACACTGAAAGAGAATGCCCATTATTATTCAGGATATGTACCCAATTTGGACTTGGAATGGTGACTTGGTCATTTCCCTTTCCTCTTTACCAAACAGGCAAAGTCCCATTGACTTTAGAGGGGCTAGGATTTCACCCAGAGTCTCCTACGTTTCCTGGTAAGTTAATGAGTGACCAGGGTTCAGACCTACTGCGCTTTGTCTCCGGCTAGCTGCGTTATACAAGCTGTCTTGTGCTCAGCCCCTAGAGATATGAAGGTCCCATGCTCTACACCTGCTCTACACTGCCCCATGCTCTACACCTCTTTGACCACCACAATAGTCAAGAGTGGCATTGACTGAAGTCACATCCAGTCTATGTGTCCACAGATACTTGGGCTGTGCCCAAGTATCTAGTGATTTCCTAGTACTAATTTTCAGCAATCACATAGCTATGCTAGTGTTTACAAAATACAGGAGCTCTAACATTGACCTCATACCATCTGTAACTGAAAAAAAACAGGCAAGGAATTTCCTAGTGTACGCAATCTTGCAAAATAACTGATTGCAGGCCACGCGATAAAACATTGCTAAAACAATCTGACAGGCGGAAGAGAATTTCACTGAACCTCAGTTTGCTGAGCAGGGCTAAATAACACGTACACTCACCATTACATCATAAATACAGGTTACATGTAAAGAAAAAGTGAATTTATGCCCTTCTCTTTTTTTATGATGCATCAAGAAAGCTAGGAGATTTTTTTTTTAAGTTCCACTAGACCTTTTTTTCCCTTTACATATTTTAAAATCAGATCTTGTCTACTTAACTGGGAAAAAAACCCCAAAGAAATGAAAAAATGTTGATCAAAGGAGGTCAGTTCTGGTTATTCATATTAGCTTACCAGGAAACATAGGTTACCATGTGTGAAATCCTAGCCCAGCTAAAGTAGAGAAGCCGAGGAACCAGTAATTCAGAGGGAAGGGATTTTTAGTCAGGCTACCTAAACTTTTCATTTTTTGTTACTATTTGACTGGGATCCCTGGTGAACACCCAATGTTTTCATTTACATGGGGAGAGAGAACAACAACCACCTGTAAGTCCTCCATCACAACAAAACTCGACACAACCTTTATTTGGAAAATGAAAACACCTTATTTGCATTGGAAACCAAACCAAACCCCAGTGTCCATGCTGTCTTACATGTTCCCAGCTTGGTCCCATTTACAAAAATCCTTTGCCAGTCCCACCGGACACCTCATAAGCTAGTTATTTGTACTTACAGAATCCTAGAGATGTCAGGCTGGAAGGAAGCTCCAGAGGTCAGCTAGTCAAAAGACCCCTCCTGAGGCAGGACCATCGCTATTCAAACATCTGATACCATCCATCATCTAAACTCTACATAAGATTGTTGTCAGCCCTGACACAGCACAGACCTAACACTCTCACCTGCCCCAGGTCAAGCAGGGGATCCATGGCAGTCAACATCCTGCTTCTATGAAACCTCTTCATTTATACAGTCTGCATCTGTGGCTCTACCAAGTCCCAGGACCTCCTGGTCAACCTTCTCCTGACCCTAGCCAAGCTAGTAATCTATCTAACCAAGAAGGAGGCTCTGGGTGGGAGGCTGTTTTGCCGTCCCTTGTGTCCTGTACATATCTCCAGGCAAAGATTTACTGGGCAGTGTCCACTGGCTCCTTGGACTTGGTTGAGGACTGGGGGGGAAGGCCTTGGCACACCCATTATGAATGGATGACCCTCATTCCCCTGTTCTGTTTTCTTGTTTTCCCAATCAATCAGTGCCCCCCGCCCCCCATCATCGACAGGGGATTGTAGCTCTACTTGGCTGACCCACGTCACAGTAGGGCATATTAAAAGGCCTGCTTCTATGAAACATTGGCAATATATGCTCAAGATATTCTGGGGAAGAGCCCAGCAAGAGAGGAAGGCACAAAACCCCCACAGCCCGTCTCAATCGGACCAGACAAGACGCGCGGTTGCTCACCTCCCCCCTCGTTATCAAGGCAGCTGGGAATGTTGGGAGCTCAGACTGAATAACCAGAACTTTTGGGAAGGCGGTATCTTTTATTAGATAGTTGCAAAAAAAAAAAAAAAAAAAAATTAAAAAAAATTAAAATCATTTTTATTAGACTTTAAATAATTTTTTATAAGACCAGTTAGATAGTTACAAAAAAAGTCATTAAAGATTTTTTTTTTTGCAGCTATCTAGTTGGTCTAATAAAAGACAGTACCTCCCCAAGAGTTCTGATTACTTTTGCCTGCAGACCACCACGGCTACAACCTGTATCCCTGGGACTGAACCACAGAGCCGGACTTGGGATCAGACAGAACCGCAGGCCGTGAGGGCTGGAAGGGGCACCTAGTGCCGCTCCCGGTGCCAGGTGGGATTAGCCCCAATGACATCATCCCGGCCTAGGGTTACCCACCCTCTTTGAATCTATTCCGGGAAGTTTCATCACGTGACGCAATGACATGAATGACTTTGTGTCAGGAAGGCAAATGCACATCACTATTACATTTAAAAAACCCACTGGACGACTGTATAAATCGGATTCAACATCGTTTCTCGGCCTCCTGGAGGCTCAGATCAAGTTTAGTTTAACACATGCTCTATCATTTATCTCCGGGGTGACTCTCCACATTCTCCTGGACATTTGTCTCCAATTTCTGGGGACTCCAGGGTGATCCTGGAGGGCTGGCCGCCCTACACTCGGGCTGGCAGGGAGCTCAGCAGGGCGCCTGGTGCAACCCCCTGCTCCAAGCAGGATCGGCCCCAGCTACATCATCCCAGCCAGGCTTTGTCTCCCGGGGCTGTAAGAACGGAGAGCCCCCATCACCGCCTCCCTGGGGAGCCGGCCCCAGGGCGCCACCCCCCCCCAGCGAGGAAGTTTCCCCTCCTACCCAACCTAAGCCTCCCTGCTGCGGCTGGGGGCTTCCCTCACACCAGCCCCCTCCCCCGGGGGCTGCGGAAAGGCCCGGGCTGAGCTGCCCTCCCGCCTCCAGCGCTGTCTGGGGCTGGGCCGGGCCGGGCCGGGCCGGGGCAGGTCCCCGCCCTCCGCCTGGGCCGGGCGGAGCCATCGCAGCAGGGCCCTTTGGCTCCCTCCCAGCCAGCTCACGCTCGGCTCTACCCGGCCAGGTTTCTTCCTGGAGGGGGAGCAGGCCGGAGCTGGCAATTCCTGAGCAAGGGCTCAGGCTTGTTCGTACCGGGAAAGCCCGGGAGCGGCCTGGGTAGAAATCCGAGATAATGAGGCGTGGAAGGGGCCATGTAGTGCCACCGCCTGCTCACAGCAGGACCAGCCCCACCTAGATCAGCCCAGGGCTTTGCCTAGTCGGGCCTTGGGAACCTCCAAGGATGCAGATTCCGGCCCCTCCCTGGGAAACCAACTTGTTCCAGCGCTTCACCACCCTCCGAGAGAAAGCTTTTCTTAGCATCCAGCTGAAAACCTTGTACACCCAGGGGAATTACGCAGTCGTGCGCCCGCGCAATTTTGCGTGTAAGAGGCAGGATTGTGCAGAATTGCATAGTTTAAGCAGGGCGGCTCTGTGCCTCCACCTCCATGACGTGGAAGCACAGAGCTGCCCAACTGGACAGCTGGGCGAGTGGGGAGAAGAGCTCCTGCCTGCAGAAGGGGGGCATGGGCATGGGGTTTGAGGGAGGGTATAGACTGCATGCCATTGGGCTGGGCCAGCTGGCTCAGTGCCTCCATGTGGGGCTTCTAGCACTCCAGCCAGAAGCTGCGTGTGGACCCATGGAGCCTGCCTAGCCTGATGGCGCATGACTCCGTGCCTCCATGTGCACCTTCCCTCTGGAGTGCTGGAAGCCCCATGTGGAGGGCCAACTCAGTCTGATGGCACGTGAACCACTGGGCTGTGTGCCATCGGGCCAGGTGGGAAGGCACACAAGGAGGCACGGAGTCGTGCACCACTGGGCCGGGTGGGCTCCTGCTTGCCTCCACCTGGGGCTTTCTGTTGGAGTGCTGGAAGCCCCACATGGAGGCACAGAACCCATTCGGCCTGATGGTGCCTGGCTTCTGGTCCACATGCCCTTGGGCCAGGCCAGGCAGCTCTGTGCCTCCATGTGGGGCTTCCAGCACTCCAGCAGGAAGCTGCACACGGTATCATGGAGCCCAACTGGCCTGATGATGTGCAGCTCTCACCTGCAGTATCGCAAGCCTTGCATGCTGGCACGGAGCCGGCTTGGTCTGGTTTGAAGGTGTGCACTAGTGGGCTGGGCCAACTCAATGCTAGCACATGCAAGCCCTGGGACTCAACCAAAGGCACTCACTGCTGGGGGCTCTGCCTGATGTAGCCATGACTGTCCTGAGGCCAGCTGCCTGCTACTGCCGACCCACTGGCAGTGGGGGCTGTGCACTATGGGGAGGGCAGTGTGTGTGTGTGAGGTGCCCACACTCACCTACAAGACCCCCCCCACACCCCCTCACAACTCCCCCACACCCATCCACAAACCCTGCACCCCTTCACAACTAGCCCACACACACCCACGCCCATTCACACCTGCCCACAACCCCCTCCCCTCCCGCACACCAATACCTGCCTACACATTCACAAATCCCCCCCACACCCCACGGCCACCCCCAACCATGCAATGTAGCTGCATATATTTCTAAAGAAGGTTCAAATAATGTTATATTTAGTTTAATTTGTAAAAAAAAAAAACAACGAAAAGCGTAATTAATTTAGCATAATTTTGAGTTTTTCTGCACATCATTTTGAATTTTTTCTGTGTATAATTCCTTGGGGTGTAACTTGGCAGCAGTTGTGCCAGGGCAGAAGCCCTTTTTCCTCTCTGATCAAAGCAGTGGCACTGTTTCTCTGCCAGCTGTGGATCCTTTTGACCTGGGATCCTAGCTGGGTTGCCAACACCGTTTGAATCTATTCCAGGTAGTTTCCGAAACACCAGTGTGCCAATGACACACAATGTGAACATGCCTGCGTGCTTATTATCAGTTATGGATTGCAGTGCGTTATATCCGGAAGGCAAACACACATTACAAAACCCACTGGACTACTGTAAAAATTGGATTCAACTTTTAATATTTATTTTAATGAATGCCCTATCATTTATCTCCTCGGTGACTCTCAGCAGTCTCTTGGAGATTTTTATCTAATTCCTGGAGACTCCAGGGCAATCCTGAAGGGTTGGCAGCCCTAGATCCTACAGACCTACAAGTCCAGGGGCCTGCTTGAAGTCCCTTTGAAGTATGCAGGCTAAAGTGTGCTAAAGATTTTCCCCAGGATGTGGCTGCATGCATCTGTAAGGTTACTGGACCTTTTTCTAGGACAAGCCACCCAGGCCATATGCTTCTCTCTGGCACAAGAACAGGTATGAGATTTGGAAGGATGATGTCAAATGACTAAGCCACCTCTCTTTTGATTTGGGTCAAATAATCAGGACAGGCTCAAACAAGATGTCTACTTACAGTATAAGGTGGCTCCCATCACTGTAACCAGGAGCGTCTCACCAGTGTAAAATGGAATTAATAAATCTAGACAAACCATAAAGTTTACCTGCAGTTCCTTCTTAAGGAAATATTCCACCAAAGACAAAGGGAATTGTAAAGCGTTAATTGCCCTGTTCTTCTCAATCTAATCAACTGACTTTTTACCTGTCTCAGCAGAAGGTAAGCTGTGTCCCTCCTCCTGTCCCTTTCTCTTCTTTAAAAACCCTTCCTTTCTGCTGGTCCATTCATAGCATCGATTAAGTAGGCTGTTGCTTAGGAAAGCTTATGCTTCTCTGAACCAGTTTCTCTAAGGTGCCACCCCGCCCTACCCTGAGTAAACATGTGCACTATTTCTTTCACTAGGAGAGCCACTCCTTTATCAGGGTAGGACTACTGCATTCTTTCTGGCTTAATGTATTATCTTCAGTAATAGAACGGTCAAGAGGATCAAATTCTGCCTTCAGTCACATCCTCAAAGTCCTGCTGGTCCTCAGGACCACTAGTCAATCCCACTGCTTTCAGATGTATGTAAATACGTAACTTGAAGACAATGCAGTTCAACAGTTGGTTCTGTCAAAGTGGAATTTAGTTATCAGTTCAACTGATGTACATGTCTGCAAAGAATCCACTTTTCACAATCCAAGCTCTTGGATAACTCACTCATTCCAAGGGCAGATTCACACAGTCCCAATGTAGTTTACAGCATATTGGAAGTTGCTTTAATTTACATGGTTTAATACTCACTGCCAAGGGACTGCATCTCACCTGGAACCTGCTGACAAACAGTACATACTAGCCATGGCTCCTCCGAAGTCTCTATGCTATGATCAGCTTGGTTCTGTACTACCAAAAATGAACCTCTGTGAGGACTTCTCTACAGCTAAGTTCTGATTGCTTTTTGATGATATAAAGGAGCCACAATGGACAGAGAACCTGAGGCATTCATTGTGTCTGCATGCATAAACCTATTCACAAGTTCATATGGAGCACCCATGCAATACCATTCAGGTTGCAAGAACAACAATTTCAAAACGTTTGATTTTAAAATACCTTTATGGGATCTCAGAATTGTGGCAGTTGATAATTAAAACCATTAAAAAAGGATACAAAACTGGAAAAGATAATACAAATAGACAAAAAGAAATCTACTTCTGTTTCTACCTAACAATACAGGTTGTCAATTTTTTCAGCAGCTTTTTCTGTGGCTTTCACTTGATCAGTAGAACTTCATCATGACACTCAACTGATCCACAGGAATGCAACATTACTGTGTCACACTCGGTAAAACTCATTTCACAGTAGTAAGAAAGGAACAGACCTTACAAAGATTGACTACATGGAATACTTTCCTGTTCATGTATTTCTAAGAAGATTTTGTTAAAAGACCACCTGGTAACAAATACTTCTTTCTGTTTGGAATGTGTGGTAAACATCTACTGTTTAACACTTAAGTATTGTGGTCCATGGATAAGTCTTTTGAGATTTTGCAAAACTGACTAACTGGCCTGTGTAGTTGCTACATATATTTATCTTCAGAATAGTTATTTGTATTTA